TAATAACAAAAAAATTCAATATATCATTTCAAATTTTTAAAAATATATGACAATGAAAAATTTTGCCTTAGGACCTAGGGTGATAACCGGCTGTTTGCCTTAGACTCCTCTTTCTTTCCACCCCCATACACCGAATCTGAGTTAGTACGTGGGGTGGGGGGTGATCGCAACTGGGAATCGTCCGGGGTGTCTGGGAGTTTGGCCCCTGGGTCCACGTGCAGGAATTGGCAGGATTCCTCTGGCTTTCTTTTTTTCCTCCCCCAAGTCCCAGTCTACCCAGAACCCTGGGGACCCAGCCCACCTACTTGAGTTCGGAGGCGTCTTCTCTGGAGCGCCTCAACCCCATCCCTGGCGTCCAGACCCGCGTTGCGCGTTGCCCCGGAACCCGAGTCCACAACAATCTGGCCAGTGCTCTTCCCTGGCCTTCCGCGGGAACCCGGAGGGGAGCGGTTCGGCGATTAGCGAAAACGCCCCCGCTCCGGAGCCCTGGGTTTGCTCTGGCCCACTAGGGCACCGCACCGGCGACGCGCCTCGTGCACCCTGGACAGCACCCGCTCCAGGGACCGGCACCCCGCGAGCACCTGCCTTCACTCGGGGATGGTCCCTGGCAGCTGAGTTTAGCAGGGTCAAGGAGGGGCGCGAAAACCGTCAGAGGGACATTGGCTGGGAGGGAATCCTGGGAGGCGGCGGCGCGGGCACTCGAGGTGCGAGGACGCACTGGATGGAGTCCCTGGAAAGTGCGAGATCGTCCCTTGGGGAAGGTGGCAGAGCGGACCCAACCGGGCAGGGGGGTACAGTGGGCACCTTGGGGGCCCGGGGAAGAGGAGTGGGTTCATCTGGAGGCTGGAGACCCATGGGCGGTGACCGGGCAGGGGACATGTAATGAGTTTGGAGCGGCTGTGGGCATCGGCGGGCGAGGTGGCGCGGGTGATGCCCGAGTCTGCGGGGCATCCATGGAGGAAGCCGGCTGGAGTCCTCGAATCGGCCGCCGAGGCAAGAGGTCTCCCGGAGCACGTCCGGCCGGCGGGCACAGCGACGGCGCGGGCCTAGGCGAGGCCGGGGGGGGGGGGGTCGTTGCCTCTCACCTTGAAGGCCACTGGCAAGGTTTCGGTGCAGCGCCGGGGCGAGGGCAGGATCAAACATGATGCTGGGACTCCCGGCTACCGGCGCGGTCGAGCTCTGGCAGGTGTTTGCGATGAGCCCCACCAGCGGGCGGGGGCGTGCCAGGCTGCTGCGCAGCCCCCACCGACTTGTCAGGTTGCAGGCTGCCGCAGTGGGGTGAGGGGCTGAGGCGGGAGCCGGTGCTCGAATCTGGGAGAACGTGCACAACACCAGGGGAGAAGAGGTTGGAACGGGGCGGGTGTCCTGAGAGGGCAGAGGCGAAGGGGCAGCGGAGAAGCTAAAGAGGGTCCCAGGAGCCGACAGTCGGGCGGCGGCGGCGGGGGACCGGGAGGGCGCAGATCTCCTTAGGGAGCGCCCGGCCAGCAGCTGCGAACTGGCGCGGTGCTCGGTTTACCCGGGAGGCTGGAGACTAGAATTTGCAGCTCGCTGGGGGTCCCTTGGTTCTGCAGGAGGCTGGGGAGGGGGGTTGCGCAGGCGGCCCCTCCCAGTCGGAGTCGAGAGGCGGAGGGGAACGGTTCCGGAATGCGACCCCCCCACCCCCACCCCGCAGCCGTGGCCCTGCGTCTCCCCCTCCTCCGCAGGGCGCCGAGGCTACTTCCTCTCCCTTCGCTTTGCACCCTCTCTCGCCCGCTTCGGTACATCCCCTCCCTCCCGCTATATTTGCAAAGCTTGCAAAGCTCCCTGGTCTCCCCCGAGGTAAGTTGCAAGCCTCACATCTAGGGCCGCGGGCGTCTGCGGCCTGCAGGTCGCTGTCCGGCTCCTCTCGCACCAACAGCCCGCCACAAGGACCCTGCGCGATGCGCTCCGGGCCCAAAGCAGTGGGGGCTGCCCTAATCCCAGGGAGCTCACCTCAGAATGGTTATGTCATTCTGCCCACAGGACAAGGAATCCCCCAAAATGGAGTGATTTGATGTACGGGGTGGGGGGACTTGCCAAAATACCTAGTTTTTAGAAATTCAAGTGAACGGCTGGACAGTTCTTTTTTCTTATATATTCGTTCTTGTCACTCCTAGGGAAGAAGGAGGAGATTTTTTTAAGAACTGGAAATCTACCAGCTTAGTAATTAAAATAAACTGCAAAACCTTTGCGGGTGGAGCAGCATTTTTCCATGAATTTCATTCTTTTATTAAGTCTGTCCTGCATCTCAAACTAGTTCTACTTAGTGTCTTCACTTTCTTCCTAGATGCATGGAGGGGAAGAAATCAATATTCAAAATGCTTCAATGGCTGTTATTTCCACTTTGGATACCCCCAAAATATTGTGGTGAAGGGGATGAAGGAGTACGGAGAAAAAATGATGGGTTTTACCTAAAGTGTGATTTTTGGAGGTTAGAATTTCTACTGGTTAGCTTTTTTTGTGGATTATATAGAAAGGAGTCTGGCTAGGGCGATTATTACGCTGATGAGAGTCAGCCTCAAACTGCCAGTCTTCAAAACAAATGCAACAAGGGGTTGTGACCATAGAAGGTGGGAAATCCGCGGGAGCTTGCTGCACCCCAATAACGGGCCACAAGGCTGTCCACCCTCTGCCGTGTACTGCTACGTTTCTTGCTTCTAATCAAACTGTTTTAAACCTGCAAAGGTTGAAGACTATGTATTTACAAACTCATTTATTTTTTAATAAAGAGATTGAATTGTCTTTTAAGTATTTTGAGAAAATACTGCGCTAAATCAAATTGGGAAAAATATTGATCATTAAATGGGCTTTCTTGTCCTCAAGAAAATATTGTTACATAGTGAGGAAATATAGTTACTAGCCTGCTTGTAGGTGTCATAGAGGAACTTGGTATCTTGATTCCCACCTTTGTGTACAGTTTCAAGAGGGATAATACTCAGGATGCTTCTAGAAGCCATGCTCTTGGTCTTTGACCTTCTAGCCCAGCCCATCAGAGTACTTAGTCTGAATCAGAGCTGAAGTTTCTTTGAGTAGAGTCCTTACTAGGGTGAGGCAGAAGAGGTGTACAATCACAAGCTTCAATCTCTTTTTTATTTAAAATATGGATACAGATCATTGCAAAGGCCCTGGATTTAATCGCCAATGCCGCCTCCCTCGCCCCAAATATTCATTAAGATCCCGGGCCACCCAATTCCTGAAGATAAGATTGCATCGGCCAATTGGGGACCTGAAATTCAAAAGAAACACCCAGCGTGGGTCACACGATCCCTGTCCCTCTTAGATTCACTCCTAAAGGACTCGCTGGGGTCTGGACCGCGCACACTCCCGGCTCCCGACAGTGCCCGCTGTCCGTGCTCCACTGGGAGTCTCCTGGCCCTCACTGTCCGCCTGGGGTGGATGACATCCTGGCCGGAGCTGGCGGAAGTAGCACCCACCCTCGGGCGTGAGGCTGTGCGCCACGGAGTCCAGCGCGCATGCGTACGTGCCGCCGGACGCCCCCTTATTTTCCCTTGATCCGGGCCCTACACTGTAGAGGTAGTGTCAGCCCGTCTTTCGCAGGCCGGTAACCTTTTCTTCCTGTAGTCTCTCTCCTCACCCACATCTGCTCCCTGTCAGTAGTGTCCTCTGTCGCAGGACCGCGCCATTTCTGCCCCCACACCCTCTGCAGCCGTGCCCACAGGTGTCCTGAAGCAGAATTGGGCAGGTGCCTGGAAACGCTGAGGTCCCCCTTGCCACGAGTGTCGGACGCCTGACTCCTCGGGGAAGCCGGCGCGCTGGGGTGGTGAGGCGTCTCTCCAGGTAGTCTGCAGCGGGGGGGGGGTCCATACAGAAAAACTCTCCCTTCGGACTCAGGGAAGGAATAGGGAGTGTTCATGGCAGCGTCCAGAAAGAGGAAAAAGGCCCCTCTCATCCATGGCTTGAGCCCTCGGCTGTGGTCCCTGGGGAAATCATTCAGCTGCTTTATTTCGGTATTCGGGGCTGTAATACAGGGGTGATAATAACCTGCTGTAACATTGTGAGGCCTGTTTTGGGTTTTTGAGGCAGAGTTACAGTAGAGTCCAGGCTGGCCTAGAACTCGGGATCCTTCTGCCTCAGCCCCGCCCCCGCCCCAGTTTGTTTTAAAAGTTCAGAATAACTATAGGTTCCTATTTTCTCAGTTAAAAATCTAGATTCCAGGTCTGACAAGTGAGAGTGGAGTTGTGGTGATAGTGGACTGTGGTACCTGACATCCAGAGACAATCCTGAACTCTACACATGGATAAACTAACGTGTCTCCGTGAGGTTAGTAGAAACGTACACTTTAAACCATGTGGGTATATGTTGCCACATAATGGGTGAGTACAGTCCAGGTCCTTGTGTACAGCGAGCTGAGAATTGCCAAGTGTACAGCCTGTACCAAGTGGCAAGCATCTACATTTATTGAGGATCACAGGAAGTTGTGCTTAGGGCAAGTCCATGCCAACAAAAGAAAAGGCACAGGCCGAGAGGGGGTTCAGAGATGACAGAAAAGCAAGAACAAGCACACCAGATCACAGCACACAGAATCAGTAACAGCCGCTGGTAAATCAGACTTTCAGAATTTAAATGTAGGCACCTCACCCCGGGCGCCTCCCCTGAGTCTCCAGGTACCGTTGACAGGAATGATTGACAGGGTGCTTCCTTATCTCAGGAGCTCTCAACAAACTCTGTTTGTCCCAGAATTCACTGTGACCGAGAGTCCACCTATTTGTGACTAGAAGGAAGATTTACTTGAAGAAAGAACTGGTAGAATTTCTGGTCAATGTTTCAAAGGGGATGTATTTGGCTGACTGTAAGGAACAATTTCTTGAAAGTAAACTTTGCAAAAATAAAATGCCCTTCATTGTGGCATTGCAAGGTTTTTGGCTTGGGATATCCAGACAAAGTGTGTCGAAGTCTAGAGTCTCACTTTCCCATAGAATTCTAGCGTAGTGGAAATGTTATGTACTCTATGTGTGTCCCAGTATGGTAGCCACTAGTAAATCCCGCTGCAGAACTTAATTTTTAATTTTTGTATTACTGTAATATACATTATGGTTTAGTTTGGGTGATTTATTTGAGTCTATGAATCTGTCCATTTCTTTAAGATTTTCCAGCTTATTCTCTTAATTTAAATCACAATTCTTATTTTTGAATGGTGGACATAATTTGTGATAAAAGACCAGTTTAATGTTTTATAGATACATAAAACTTTAATTACATATAATTGTGTATGCAATATAAATCATAGAGAATATATTGATATATCGATTTTATAAACACAAAGGCTAAGTGATCAAATGGGTCATTTTCTGACCACTTTAATAAAGTATTTCTATGGTAGATTGTGAACATTTGACTATTCATAAACAGAGGAACAGGTACAGTTGCACTGTAGAGCTGTCTACCTGTGCTGTATGCTAGGCCTTCATAGAGGCATTAAATGCACTTTGCTCCTTTGATACATTATCTTACTTTGTCATTTCATTTGAATTTATGTATTTATTTAGATTTTATGTCTTCTCCTTGGTGCTGCTGATTTTGTTGCTATAGTGCCAGACTCAGCCTGCAAGTGCAGCTTAGCTTGACTTTTCTTCTTTTTTGAATCTCCTCCCAGTGTACTACAAACTAGTAATGAAATTTAGTAGGTTTTATCTGTAATAAGAACGTATAAGCTAAGAAAACTTAGCACACTTTCTTTTCTAAAAAAAACCCACTTAATCTTTGGTGCATAAAAATTAATGTCAAGCCAGGTGTGGTGGCACACATCTGTAATCCCAGCACTTGGGAAGGTGAGGCAGGAGGGTTGCCTCAAATTCAGTGTTAGCCTGGGATACATAGTGAATTCAAGGACAGCCTGAACTACACAGCGACCCTGTCTCAAAAAAAAATTAATGTCCATTTTGAGAGTTGAGATACATGCTTCTGGATGTAGAACTGTGGTCACATTTTTAAAGACTGAGATTGTCAGGTATCAGGTCACAGTTTATTTGTAAGTCCTTTGGAACGGAATCTTTTTTCTCAGTGAGGTAATGTAAGGATTTTTACCTTAGGTTTCTAGGTTGGCTCAATACTGTATTTTTTAACCTATAAAAATGTCTAAAGTAATACTGATACTTAGCTATCCTTAATCACTATTCATACCATTTAGAAGGAGTAGGCAAGGCTTCTGGCAAAGGTCAGAGATAGGGACTTTTGATATTGGTGAAGGTTCACTAAAATTATATTCCATGTTACCCAACTTGCCAAGGACTCAACTGAATATTGTCAGTATCTAAAAGGGTTCAGCAGTAGTAAGCTTGTATGATTTTCTATAGCAGGGAAACAAATTATTTAAAGGATTTACGACTCTGAAGGACTGTGGTGGCAAAAGGTTATGGAAATTTGAGGTGCTGGAGGTTGGGATCACAGCCTAAGCTGGTAGAAGGGATTGAGATAAAAGTACTATGAAGTTGATCAACTTGCAGAAAAATTGGGGGAAGAGAAGGAATTTGAAATTTCAGTGAAGTATAAAATGCAGTAGAGTGCAAGTAGTTATTAAAAGAGTTAGAGAAATAGAAAATTGACACAAAATAAATGCATCAACTTCGGCATATCCTCCAGAAAGCCTTTTTTTTTTTTTTTCAACATATTTAGTCTTGTGAATTACTTTTCTGTGTGCTTGGCCTCTTGTACTTCTCTTAAGAAAGTCCTCATTTTACTGTTTTACTGTGATCTAGTTATTTGTCTCTTTCTCTTCCCTGATTATAGGGATTGCTTTAATTTTTTTGTTTTACAGTGCCTGGCACATTTTGAATTTTACTCAGTGACTAGGAAGCTGTTATCACCGTGCAGTAGTGTCATTTTGGAAGGCAACTGCCATGGGGTGGCTGTGGTTGAGAAGAGGTTAAACGTCTTCTAAGTAGAATAGGTAGGAGATACAGGCAGGAGTAATTTTTGTACTGTGTGTCCGTAATTGAAATTCAGATGAGTACCTTATCTCGGTCATTCTCCAGTTTTATTAAAGCCTTTGAACTTTTTATATCGTGCCTTGGGGTTTTGGGGGTTCTGTATTACTTTTTTTTTTGGTACTGGGGATCAAACTCAGGACCTCACACTTGCCAGGCAGGTGCTGTGCTACTGAGCTACCTCCTGGCCCTCTGTATTACTTTATAAATAAAGCTAAGTCATGCTCATTATTGTCTTATTACATTAATTTTTTAAAATCCGAGCTGCATGAATAACGTTTTTAAGTATTAACATTCTGTATTCAGAGTTCTGATCTATTTGACACTGCTTCCTTACAAAATTACATATGTTTATTTATGATGTGTGGAAGACAGAAAGCTTAATGAAATCTTACAAATATGAGTAACTCCTATTCTGTTTTTACATATCTCTTTGAACTTTGTTATTTACAAGGTCCAAATAAATGTATGTGCTGCTGAAGCAAGCACTATGAAATCCAAATAAGAATGTTTACCTCTTAAGGTTTTTGTTCTGTGGATTAAATCAGATATGAATGTAAATAATTTATGTGATAGGTAGTTCAGTGCAAATCTCTATATAAATGTTTATACCTTTTAAATTAGGTTTTATAAGATTAGAGATATAACTGGATTTCTGCATTTTCTTTTTTTTTTATGTAGTACTAGGGAATGAACCAAATGCCTGTGCATTAAGCTACATATCCCGTCTGTTACTCATTTTTCATTTTGAGACAAGTCTCACTAAGTCGCTTAGTTGCCCAGGCTGGGCTTGAACTTTCTTTCCTTCTGCCTCTTAGCCTTGAGAGTAGTGCTGGGATTACAAGCATAACCCACCACACCCAGCTTCAGCATATTCTTCTTTGGGGGTGATGTGCTGGGGATTGAACCCAGTTCCTTTGCACTCACCTATAAGGTCCCGCTAAGCTGCTCAGTTTCCAAGTCTGAGCTTACTTGCCATCCTCCTACCTCAGTCAGGCAGAGTGCTGGGATGCAGGTGTAGGTATCACTATTTCACGGGAGTCCCTGTCTGGTATTCAGAAACAAAGGGATCTGTTTAAATAATGTTGTTTTGCCTGAATGAAAGTCTGAGTGTTTCAAGAAATCAGTTAGGTCAGTTATTTTATTTACTCATGAAGAAACTGAAGAGCAGAATGGTGGGTTGATTGGTCCTAGGGTGTTCAGTTGGTTAGTTAGGGCCTGAGGACTATATACCCAGTATTCTGAATATCAACCCAATGACCTTTCCCAGTGCCTTTCTGATTTCTAAATCATTGTTATGTGACTGTTTCTCTCTTATTCCTCACTTTTTAAACTGCCAGCACTTGTTTATTTGTTTTATTTTGATATTTGATATTTGACATGATATGGCAAGATTGGTCTTATCTGAAAGTGATGAGTGAAATACACACACACACACACACACACACACACACACACATATCTTGAAGTATTTTAATTCAGAGCTTTTTTTTAATGTGATTTCAGTTCTGTGACCAGGTATTATAATCTGCTCTGCAATGTAAAGATTTCATTCATTTAGACATTTACTGGGATGGCTTAAATTTCATAATTAAAACTAACATTTAGCTGAAAAACCTTATTCTTAAATTTTCTTGCTTTCATGTTTCATAAGCTTCCTTTAAAAGACACATTGATGTATTTATGATCACCGTTTCGGAGCCAGACAGTATGTATACAAATTATTTTTTGCTTTGAAGTTAATTTTTTCTCATTTTTCTCTAATCTCACCTCTTGACATTTTAAAAATTACTATTCAGCCAATTCGTGAACTAATGTTTTGTGATATATGTAAGTGGCTTGAGCGAGAATGTGAATCAGTTTTCTGTTTCATTGAGGTAGTTTCCTGTGATTAAAGTATAAATGGTGTGTGTTAGAATTGCCTAATGCAGTTGGTTTAAGTTCTTGTGCATGTCCCTTTTAGCTGATTGTGGATTCATAACACAGTTTTGAGGTGGGCATCTGTAGGCAGACCGCATTTGTTCTGTAGAATTACTGTATACCAATGAGTGTTTATTTGTTCAGCAAATACCTTTGAGCCCTTGGCTTTGGAGATGACAGCAGTAGGTTTTTTTTTTTGTTTGTGTCTTTTTCATTGCTTTTTCTTTGGTTGTTTAGACTTTTATTTCTTCTTCTTTTAGATTTGGTTTTTTGTCTGATTGTTGCTTTTTTTTGTTTGTTTGCTTATGGTTTTTTATATCAGAAAGTCGGTTGTTTCTTTAATTTTCTTTGTTGTAATTTAAGAGTTGTGGTAGTTTGTTTGTATGTTTTCATATCTTTGTCTTCTTTTTCCTTAAT